GCTTCATTGGAAGTTATCGGTGTCGAAAGACGTCTACATATTTCAAACTGCGATTCAGGTTGCTGCGTTTATTGGTCCTTTTAGCCGCTCACTGACTTGAATGAAAAAAACAGGTAGAATGATATTACCGACAAAGACAAGGGAGACTGGAATGGCCGTTTCTGGCTTATTAGCCGTCGTCAGCCTGTCATATCCAACCTCGAAGTGTGGCGCACCCGAGGCTCGAACTCGCGACCTGTTTGTTAGCAGTCCACGCCTCCAACCACTGAGCCACGAGCCGGTTACCCTGTCGGTTTTCGCTCGGGAATATACAATGGTAGGGGGCGCTCACCTATCGTTCTTACGGAACTCACTCTTTCCGTTGTGTCTTATGGACTCTCTCTCGAGCCCAACCAGTAGCCGCACAGCGGCGCATGATATAGGCAGGATGATATTACCGACAAAGACAAGGGAGACTGGAATGGCCAAATTCCAAATACCGAAATGTGAAATATTCTCTTTTAGCAAGGACGTTATGCTTTCCGGAATGGAAAGGAGATATTTTTTTAGTGTGACAGCCAGAAACAACAAACCTTGCTACTCAAATATGCGAATTAAGCTGCGCAATACGCAGAGATTAACTTTGCGATGTTCACATCACTGTCGATCATTAAGCCAGTTATAATAATGCCGGAAGTGAGGGCTTGACGACTCTTTGATATATCAGGATAGACGAATAGTTTGCTTTTTACAACGTTTTTAGCGCTCATAACGATAAGTCCACTAACGTGATGTCTCAACTGTAAGGTTAGGCCAGTAGGTCAGTATATTTTAAAGGTAATAGGCAGTGGCTTTGAAAACCCTATTGAAAACGGTACATGAAATATATTATTTTAAATAAACACGGTACTAAAATGTTGTCAGTAATATATACACTAAATATAATATTTTTCTGCGAAAATGCAGAACCAACACTCGAGAACATTCAGTTGGGTAAGACGTTAGTCACAGTAGCTCATGAAATGTACTACTCGGGTTGCGCTGAATCGGTCTGCCCTCACCTAGTACCGCACACGTATGTGACAGATGTTTCAGTCCACGCCACTCACTGCACTCAATTTTATTATCAATCTGCCGGAATCTTAGGATAGCCTACGGATGAATTATACATGGGAGAGTAAGAGGAATCGATTATCCACAATTTCTCCTTATAGCATTTAGAGCATTTGGACTATCTCTTGAAGTGTGTGTTAAGTTAGAAAACATTGAATGGCTGGAGTTGTGGTATTTATTACCGTGCAGCGGAATCCCGCTTCGTTCCGGTCGCTTGCATAAACTATACTCTATAAAAAACTCATCATTTCATATAAAAATTTCTAATTGATTTGTAAATCCCTATATATTCAGGTATTCTTTAAAGGATGCTTCGTAAAATGTATTCCTTTTGTATCACTTTGGCAGAACGACATGATTTTTTGAATTTCTTTGAGTCGTAAAATTAGTGCCCTTTGTTTTTAAAACGTTCTCAGCTCCTAAACAATTTTGGATGCAGTCTGCGGCTGCTCTAGCGCCTAGAGTTACAATCGCCATGCGGTATACTTTCGGTGTAAGTAGAATCATAAATATATTTAAGCTACTAAGAAGAAGTCGTAAAGGGATTGTGAAACAATGCAATAGATTTGCACTACATTAACAAATGAACTGAACATTTTGGGATCTTAAAGAATCTTGTAATTAAACGCTTTCCAAAGTCGAAAGGTGCACTTTCTTTGAGTATAAAACTCATGAAGAACGCACTTACTTAGGAAATAGATACGAGAAGAATATATTTGTGGGTGTTTTCTATGAAACATATTTGAATATATGGGAGCATAAAAAGCAGTTGGAAATGCACACAAAACTGCATTGGTCATTTTACAAAGTGCGGGCGGCCGGAAGATGGTTCATATTCAAAGCAGCAGCCCAGAGTGACTATAATATTCTGGGCGTCTGATAAGTTATACTTTCCAGTCGAAGACGCATTTAAAAATACCGAATAACATTTCTAGAGTTAACCCATCTATGGTGTGTGCCCTTCTTATTATTATGAACATTTTGAAGTTGAAACCACATTGCACCAAATGTTTGTGTGGCGAGAAGATACCGTCTGGCATGCTGAGTCGACTTGCCTCCAAAGAAGGCTAGATTGTTATGAGTCCTTTCAACTGCGAAATTTAGAGCATCTCTCTTGTGTCCGCGGTCCAAACTACATGTCTAGCATGCGCCAGACGGTTGTTTTTACGTCGTATCAGTCAATACGCCGACATCATCCACGGCCTTTTTGATTTTGGCAAGTTAGCGACATGAAGAAAGCAATAGATTCGTTGTTTATTTTCAGCGAATGTGTATTCAAAGTAACCCCAACGCTCTGCGAATGCAAGTCAGCGGGTTTTGTTGCAAATGAGAGTTCCCAGAACGACGTGCTTTTCCCCAAATAAGTCGCTGTTTCTTT